GTACCCAGTAATTAGGTACTTGGGCTTTAGTATCCTAAACCCTTAACCCACTGACAGCTTTGTTTTGCTAGGACCCCAGCCCTTTGCCTGCTAATAGAAACTTGTTAAGCGCAATCTGAAACCTAACTTGGAGGTCTTGAGGGTGTATAAGCAGGTACAGCCTCCAAACCCGTAAAGCGTAAATCTAACTCAAGCCTATGGTTAAAAGGGCAACAAGTTTTGCGCAAAATGCATTTATTCACTATACTTGTGCTACCTTTACCAGATGCCAGGTACCCAATTATTGAGTACCGAGAGCCTAAACCTTCTATATCCCTCGAAGCTACCATAGATACGTCCCTAGATGTCCACGTATATTCCTAAACCCTAACCGCGAAACGAACCTAATTGTTGAGCACAGGAACCCGAAGGAAAAGCCAAAGAAGTGACATGGGTTTTTGTCTACATGCGATCTTGCAGGCGTCCTGATGAACTGTGTTTAACTTCTAGGGTTGGACAATCACCTCAGCCTTGATATGGGGGGTCATCTAGGGCGATATAGGAAATCACCCCAATAAGAGAAGAATCAAATGGAAGCGACATGGGAATCACTCATCAGGTACATCTGTCCTTGGCCCTGCTTAGATTTTAGGACACAGGGGTTTAGGGTTTTAGGGCTTTACGGTTTAGGGTTGGTCGTGGTTCTTGCATTTGATATATCCCGAATCCTTAAACCTTATGACAATTTCCAGAACGACACGTCCTAGTCTTCTTACTACTAGTACATCTATTAGGTGGACCCCCCCACCCTACAATAGTGACTATAAAGGATAATGAGGACTATATTAGGGTCCTCTTATATTCCTATTAAACCACTATTACAGGGTGGGGGGTCCTCTTAAAACATCTACATCACTTCGGCTACTTTCACCAGTACTTCTGCCCAAGCCGCCAGCATCCACGCGGACTTGGTAGCTCTCACGGAGGCACTCGTCGGAGAGGCCCTGGTAGCAGCAGATTGCTGTTCTTCAGAAATAAATATTAGATGGAAGTTGGAGGGTTATATAACGGTTCAAGTTCTGGGGTTGAGGGTTTAGGCTTAGCAGGTGAGGAGGATCCAGGGTTAGGGTCACGCGGGCATGGTGATTAGGGGCTTGACAGGCATTGCAAACTGCAAGACCTGAAGGAGCCTGAGCTGCGGTTTTGAGGATATAGTCCCCCTTAAGTAGATAGAATAAGGCTTTGGGTATATTAGGGTTTTGTGTTTAGGGTTTATAGTCCCCTTTAAGTAGATAGAATATGGCTGAGGTATATTATAATAAGATGCCAATATACCCCATATTCTATCTACTTAGGGGTGACTATTTGTGCCTAGCCGAAGAATGCCATGACGGCCAAACTCTGATTTCATGTGAGATAAACCCCTCAAGGGGTAATATAGGGATAATGGAAAAGAAAATGGAAACGACTATACTATATACGGAGTGTATAGAGGTTATATTGGCATAATGGAAAAGAAAATGGAAACTACTATGAGAGTTTGTTTACCACGGTGCCCCTGAAGAACATTGGAATGACAGTGTCGGCATGAGAATACCAAGGTCATCGCGACGAGCTTGGGAATAAAATTGGAAAAATGACAGCTCGAACTTGACAACACACACTCTCTGACGAGGCAAAAGCAAGTGTTGTGGACTCAAGACAGGACTAACCCTCCTGAACAAGCACAATGAAACATGCATGAAACATGCATGAACATGTTGATGCCAAGGTATGCCAGACACTCGGAACGGCGTACCTGTAAAACTGAACGACATAAGTACATTGAATTATGGGTTCTGTCCCCTGTGCCAGACACTGGGAATGGCACAGCATGAACGACATGAAGGTGAAAATGGAAGATGGCGGGTGGAGTCCCCGAAGCTGTGCCTGCAGGTCCCATGAACAGAACGGTGTGGGTACGTTTTCCTGGGGTGGACAGGGCTCCACCCCTCCCCTGTCCCTCCACAAAAGAGAAACAATCACAACGAGGGTTTAGGGTTTACAATGGCAAGCAGACCGGGTGCGACCCCATTCCTGTATATTATATACAACAGGTTACACACACCCACAAACACTACTGTAACCAATTCGCTACGGATCCCCTGGCACTTGCCATCATACCCTGTAAACAGAAGACCTTGCTTTGGCTTGTTGTGTAATGTCTTTTCACACAGGGTCCCACAGGGTCCTCAAGCTATTTATCGGTTAGCAAGAAATGAAGGAATGGATGCCTAAAGTACCTGTATGATCCACAACCATATAACTAGTGGCTGCCATATTCTTTCCCACTCCTTCATTCCCTGCTAACCAGAGGTAAGGATAAAGACCCCAAATGTGGACTGCAGACTCAACGTCACTCAATAGCCCTCGTTCAAGAAACTATATTGTCATCAACAACAAAACAACAACGTTGCGTGTTGATTCTTAAGCAAACATGACCTATAGTCTAAACTCCTAGTATCCCCCTTTAGACACTGTCACACTCCCCTATATAATCCCCTATATAACCTGCTTTAAGGAGTTTAGACTATAGCTTACATGAATGGAATGACTAACCCGCCTCCCTCCGCGACGTCACCCGGTAGCCACAGCGCTTCCGTGCGTCGGAGCACACGAACCTAGCTCCAGGGTTTTGGGGGGTCAGGTTTTAGGGCTCGGGGTAAACCAGGGGTTATGCTAAGCAAATTCAAGTCGAGGACGGGAAACCCTAAACTCTAAACCGAATTCCTGCGCTTGAGATTGGGCCGGTTACTCATCCTACCTAGACCCCGAGAGTCTATACGGCTTAGGGTTTAGGACCCCTATACCCTGCCCCTTGTTATAGGTACCTAACTTCATGTCTGCTATCTTCTATATACACGAAAATTGGGTACCGCAAAAAGGGGGAATTAGGGAAAAAGGCGTGGGGTATAGGGGTCCCGAGTACACCCGCCAGCCTTCATCAACGCAGGGATGATGTTGTAGCAAGCACGAGCTCCGCAACGGGAGGCCGCGGGCCAAGAAGGCGGCTTGGTAATTTCCCCCCCCCCAAGAATAAAGCCTGAAGCCCCATAATGAAAGACTGGCTTGCTGTTCAGAACCGTAAATTTCGTTACCATAATGGGTATGTGTGTATGTATAGTAAATAATAGGGTTTCCCCAATATAGTAGCTTAAATTAAGCTTCTTAACAGCAATCCAGAAGATGTTACATTAGTGATATTTACTGCTGGGGACTGGGGGCTGGGGGGTTCCTTCTCGAGAGGGAGGATTAGCAGGCGAAAGCTCCAGAACGCCACGTGACTGCTCAGTATGCAGATCTATATAATAGTTTCCAATTTCTTTCCATTGTCCCAATCTATCCCCTATATAACCCTATATACGCCCTATATGCCCCTATATAACTTTTGGGATCCTAGTACACTTTTTGGGTTTAGGCCCGAGAGGCGCTCTGGGTTTAGGCCTTCAGGGTGTTCAGGGGTTGGGGCTCAGGGTGTTCAGTTGTTCGTGGTGGCGAGCACCGTTAACAGTCGGGTTTCTGGTGAGGGGAAGGAAGAGGGACCTGATTGTACCTGCTTCTGCTTCCAAATCCGTTCACCTCATGATCTCAAGTGGCCTCCTTTTCCATGGGCACCGTTGCACAATGACTTTGGCAAGACCTGTGTCAAGACCTCAAACCTTGAGCTTGAACTTGACTTTGGAAGCATCAAGCAGGTGCAATGATTGCAGATGTAACCGCTATGTAGTATGTAGCGGTGGATGAGCCACCCGTCTGAAGTAGCCGGCATGACCGTGCGTCCGCTTAGCGAACTGCATGGCAAAAACTCATGGATGCAGCTTTGAATAATCTAAAACGGCACCTCCAAATAACCGTCTGGCAGCGCCAGCGAGGCTACCCTCCGGCATTCCTCAGGATCTCCTTCCAGGCCCTTTTGCAGAAACGCTGGAATTTCCTGTCCTCTGCAAAAGTCCTCCGCCGTCCAGTTCTGCGAATTGCGGATATCCAGCCTGGCTCCAGCTGCAATCAGGGCCGCTGCGGCCTCGTACTGCGCACCCTGCATAGCTGCCATTAGCGGTGTTTGGCCATGATTGTGATACGCCAGCAAGGAGAGAGCCGATCTTCGGCCAACCCGGTGCTTCAATGTTTCTGCTACGCCAAAAAGCCTTCCAATGCGAGTCAGGTCACGACGGCAGTCAAACTGGAAGTCCACATCGGCCCGGAGGCTGATCAAAAGCTCGACCAGCTCGGCGGAGCCACCACAATTAGCCATAGCACCGTGGAGCGCCACTCCAAACTGTTGCGGTCCGTACTGAGCCTGCACCAGTAATTCCTCCATAGCTGCCATGCTGCCATAAAGAGCCGCGACTTGAAAGGCTAACTGTCCGAACAGGTTTCGCGTCCAAGGGTTGCCGCCAGCAGCACGAAGCAAGCAGAGGCCTTCTGCGTTGTTGCTGATTGCTGCAAGATGCATGCTGGTATTGATTCCCCCCTCCAGGCGGGCTCGAGCGGCAATCAGCAGCCGGGCCGCATCGTTGTGCTTGTAGAAGATGGCTAAGTCCAGCGCCGACATCCAGAGTGGAAAGCCAAGCTTTGGCTCACTTTTTGTGGTCCTCCGGTTGGGATCGGCACGTCGGGCGAGCAGACCCCCGACCACTTGACTGTTGCCAGACATCGCCGCATAGTGCAATGGGCAGAATCCAGCAGCGTCCTTTCCCTTGACCTTTGTCAGGCGATACTGGTGAAGGAACATTGTCACTGAATCGCCGCTCTTCTGATTGGCTTCGTCAGATGGAAGAAAGCTTAATGCTGGCTCGATCTCCAAGCCACGCAAGTGCACCGTCTGCAGGCTCAAGTGCCGCCTGTAAGCGGGCAAGTCTCCAGCCTCAAGGGCCAGCAGCAACTTCTTATCCACAACGCTTTTCATGACAGGCGCTAGCTTCTGGCGATCTTCCTCAACAGTGAACTCGCCTTCGCCGACCGATCCAGACACAAACGACACGGCCGTGCCGACCACATGAAACGAAGTCGAACTTCTCACAAGGACCCAGGAATCGTGTGCGGAGAGTTCTCGCGCAGCACGCTCCAACCTGAAGAAGATAGACCCTCTGAATAGGATGCGTTCAAGGGAGCCAAGTGTAAGACACTATAAACGGCCTCCCAATTCCTACTGTAGGTGCATGAACCATTACCAACACCAATTTCAAGTCGATTTGAGGTACCCTATATTCTAATCATACAGAAGCTTCATTGTTTAGGCTTCTAATCCCTTCCCCCTAATATTACATCCCCCTTATATCAAGTAGTAAGTTTGGGTGCCTAAATTCCTGAACTTGTCAAAAGGGCAAGACTACTTTTTTGAAGGGGCTACCTATTTTGGAAAGGGGGTTTAAAAGCTAATTAGCGGTTGACTATTCCACGGATTGATTCTTAAAGAAGTACGTGATCTCGGTTGAGTAGACAGTTAACTAATACTTGATTTGATTAAGTGACTACTGATTTTCGATGGTGTTTAGAAAGTGTTTTCAAGGCATCCCTATCTATTTCTTTCAATGAATACTCCCCCCTAACATTAAATAACCTCGCCCAGATTATTTGATATTACGGAGCCGGGGGGAGGGATGGCGGACGTCGTTCAATATTGGGGGGAAGCGACTACATTACCCCTAATCACCTGCACCACCCTCGTGCGCTCCAGCTTGCTGCGGTCAGAACCTTGCCCTGCGTAGGGCACTCAATGGTCGGGCAAAGAGCGAAGAAAAAGCGGCACTTTGCCACATAGGCCGGAATGGTGTTGATGCCTTCCGCCCTTTGCCTGCCCTGGACTGCAGTCTGCGGCACAGAAAAATAGTCGTACCAAATGAACAGCGGTCTTGCCTGGAACTCTTCGTGCAAAATGCCTTTGGCGCTGGGCACAAAAGATTCCGTTACAAAATCTACGGAGATGGAACCCCTTCTGTAGAGGAGATGGCTCATGGCCTCCTTGAACACACGCATCTGCTCGAAGTCGGGGTCAGGGTGGTTTCTGGCAACCCACTGGTGTGAAACGAAAGCAGCGCTTCCCATGCTCTCGTCGAAGATGACGGCATCGCCCCGTGCCTCCGCTGCGGACCAACCAACCGATCACTTAGCAAGTCCTAAAATCTGGAGTGGACTGCCCTACCTAATAAAACCACCACCAAAGTCAAGAGATCACTGGCCAATGTCACCAAACAACGCTTGAAGAGCTATGCAAGTCCATTATGACCTATACATGCTTGTTGGGCTCGTTCGTAATAGCATGATTGTATCTCCATGACATCTACCGCTCCTGATCCATTCCTGTCAGGATGCGGTTTTTCTAAGAGCCCGTCTGTTGCCGGTGGCAACACTACTCTCTGGTTGCTTGCATCCATAAAGCAGGGGTCGTGCGGTGAGCTTCTTAGCCTGGACCTCCTCGCTGAGTGGGGATACAAAGGAAGAATGGGGACCATCAAGAGAAACCTCAATGAAAATGGTCAAATTGTTAAACGCTGTTTCTACTCTTGTCATCGCTGCTATTCCGTAACCCAAGCCACTAACCACTAGACCCGAAACCCTTGAAATCGCGGCTCTCAGATCAAGTGTTCCCGGCCTTGAGCACCTCGTGGGCCTCAATCGTCATCATCTGCAGGAGCAACTCTGCCTGCACTGTGTACATGGGATAGAGCATCGCAGTGGCCTCAGACGGACTATAGGGTGTAGGGTTTTGGTTTCACGGATGGACAGGAGGAACGAAGACCCCATAGCCTGCATTTCGTTACCAGGACCATAAACCCTAAACCCTAATCCCAGAAAAGAAGTTCAATGGTTCTTTTCCATTGATTTTTGTCTCTACTGGCAACCAGTGAGATGATGTACTCACGATCGCTGAATGGCTGCTTGGTGATTTTTTGTTGAGGGTTCAGGATCACCTCAACCTCATCGTCAATCCTCAAGGAAACCTTTACATGATGCCCTGGTACGTTCACAAATGTTATCCGGGGAACAGACAGAGTACAAGGCAGGCCTGTCATAAAGGACAAAAGCCGTGCTGCGGATGAATACCCTGGTCTACTGGGCGGCTATTATAATGGAACTTACAAGATGTTACCATGGAAGGGATGAGATACACAAGTAAATAGAAAAGAACGCACGTCGTTTCCCAAATTTTACCTTGAGTTCCTTGACACCCTCAACGGGCACAGATTGAGATGAGGCTGATGGCTACAAGCCCCTGCCTACTATAATCCCCATCATTGGGATCCCATTATGGTACCCCTAATTTGGGAACAAACCTATAAACCCTAAACCCTAAAAATCTCAAACCCTAAAAACCCTACCCTAAACACTAAAACCTCTAAACCTCTGAAAACCCTAAACCCCAAAAACCCTAAACCCTAAAAACCCCATGTTCCTACGCCTTCCAGCCGGCGGGGGGGCTCGGGCCACTGGCACTGACACAAACCCCGAGGCTCCCTATCAGCCTGCCTCAAAATTAACCATCCAACCTACCCCTAAGGATCCAGGTTCAGGGTTTAGGGTTTAGGGTTTAGGGATTAGGGCGTCTTGCTGCGCGGCGGCTGGAGGTAACATGTAGAAATGGCGCCCCGACACACCCAGGGGTGTGGGGGGGCGGCATATCTTGCGACGGCACATCTCTCGTCCCAACAAACCAAGAATTGGTGTGTTGGTTTAATCTTCCCACCCCCTGCTTACGCAGGCATCCGCCCGACTTTATTCCTTTTCGGGTTTCGGGCTGATGGCTTAAATTCCCACCTTCTTTCATTTCTTAATGCAACAACGGACGCTGCAGGTGGGTCTTCTTCCCATCACTGCCCCGCCTGCCTGCGTTCGGCGGCGCTTCGGGACCCCTGGTTGCTCTCCGCTCCGGGACCTCTGGCCCTCTGGTTTGGTAGCGGGTTTTTGGGCTCCCAACCCTACCCTTGCCCTAAATTCCGGGGCCCCCTCGGGGGGCTGCGAGGGGTTCAGGAGGGGTGTAGGAGTCTGGACGTTGGGTTTGGTAGTGGGTTTCGCGTTTTTTTGGGCTCCCAGCCCCACCTTTAAATTTCAGCATTTTCCATGCCACT